CGTTGTTGCAGAGTCATTAGAGGATGCGAAGAGAAGTGGTGACTTGTTAGCGCAAAAGACGAAAGATCTCAACATGGTCGATCTCAGAGGCGCGGAGCACGCACTGGATGTAAGGGAAGCGCTTCAATGCTATTCAGAAGTCCCGTGTACCTTGACATTGTTGTCAATTTCTTCACATACATGTACTACGACTTCTCTGATCTGAGTTCAAGAAGATCGAAAAGCAAGTTCCTTCAGACTCTAAGACCTTCCTTATCAGCTTCACTTTCAGGGCTGGACAATGCTATATGCGTTTAGAGCATGCACTTGTTAAGAAGAGTTGTTATCCATTACACACCACATTTATTTCATTTTCTCTCTATGGTAAAATCATCTGTCACCCTCAATTAGTCAATTACTACTTAATCTTATAGACTCTAAGTTACCAATGCAACATGTTTTTTTTTTTACTTTTCAAGTTATGACAAATAACAATTTCTAAAACTGGACCCTGAGACAGATTAATAAGAAGCTAATCAAATTTATGCGTAGATTACATTTCATGTATATAAACAACAAAGTGTTGTGCTTTTACATTCCTATTCCTTAGTTGATCATACATAGTTCAATCTCGGGAAGTGATCACCAAAAGGATGGTAAGCAGGAAACATCCTCGATGGTGGCGGTTGTGGTTCATAGCATCTAGCCATCATAAGTTCTTGAATATGTTGTTGTTGAGCAGCTCTAAGATGCATTCTGTTGTAATTCTCATGAATCATAAGCTCTTGAAGATATTGTTGTTGTTGATAAGCTCTTAGATGACGCATTCTCTTGTAATCTTGATGAATCATACGCTCTTGATGAATATGTCTGATTGCTGTTTGTGGAATCAATCAGCAGCCTTTCACCCTAATTTCTATCTTCACTCATCATCCATTCGATTTATCAAACCTGAAACTGTGTGGAATAAGAGAGGTGGAATCCGATCTTATATCACAAATACTGGTCATTCTGAATCTTACGCTGCATCAAATATCATAAAATAAACAAATATATCGTTTGTACTTTTTTTGTTCGGCTCAAGATTGTGTATCTCATTTAGTTATTTCGATTAAGAATACAACTGAAAATAAAGAGTCCATTATAAGTGATAATTTTTTTTTTCCATCTACTCTTCACTACTGTACAAGCCAAAAAAGATTTTCACATTTGCTATAACCACAAACCAAATGTTCTTTTTTTAAGGATGATTTTGGTGAATATCCTATTATAACTTGAAATGTTAGTTAGTAGACACTTTGATACTTAATTAGCATGTATAGCTAAGAAAAATAAAATATGGACGAAAATGCCCTTATGACACACCATCAACCAATATGACACATCTGACATAAAATGACA